GGGTTTCAGGGGGAGCGGAGGAGCCCGGACACGGACCCGCATCCCTCCTGTGTGGCAAGTTACCTGCCTTGGGAGGGGAGTTCTCGGTGACAGCCGGGCAAGTGAAGGTGCTGGGGGGGCTCGTCCGTGGGGGCGAGCCTCGGAGGCTGCAGGGAGGCCCGGTGTGGGTGCTGGCAGTGTGGTAAAGGATAGCCTCAGCGTCTGGTTGGTGCCAGGGGGTTCGAAAAGGGAATTCGCCAGTTGAAGCATACATTAAACGGTTTTGGAAAATTCATGTTTTCAGCCTGGAAATGCAGGATTGTGGAATTTAAAAACAAACAACAAACCACAAACAAAAGAACACCCCACCTCTGTCGCCTTTGGGTTTTAAGTAGAAAGTGCATGGAGAACAGTTTCTTAGTTGGCTGTTACTTGGTGGAAACGTAGGTTTTTCACGAGTGTGGCGTGTTGCAGTCACGTTTTTGCCTACTGAGAGGACGGAGCTTCTTTCCCTCAGGTTTTCTTCTAAAGTGCCTTCCATTTTCAGTGGCACTACATCACGGCAGCCTCTTCTCAGTGGCGAGTGAAGGTTCTGTCACCGCGTCTGTACGACAAAGCGATTCTCAGAAAAGCAATTCAGACAGTTCTGTGGCTTTTCTTTTTCAGAACCCTTACTGAAGCACGGAGCTTGCTTTCCGCTAATCTGTTAAGGTAGATAGTACCAGCCTTGTGAGGAATAAAAGCCGTATGATAGCAGATGCAACTTTAAAGTTGTCTGTAAACATGTTTTATTTGCTATTTATGAGTATACTTATGGCATCTAAGTAATTTATCTGCTGATCTTGTAACAAATACCTATTTTTCACTGTGAAAATTAGCTAGTATCAGTCACATCTGATATTATGAAGCATTTCTAGTTCAGCCAGTCATGTTACTTGCTGAAATTCATCTTCTCGCTCCTCAACCATCCACGTGCTGCTTGTGCAGCTGCGACTTCTGAGGTCAGCTGTGGGCAGGAGAACTAATTGACTCTCTGTTTGCATTTCCCATTGTTTTTTTCCAGGAGTCCTGATCTTAATAACCAATCTCCGGCCTGAATCAGTGGTGGTGTAATGAATAAAAGAATTCCTTAGCGTTTATTAATATTTAAAGTTTAGATCACAACAATTCTTTAATCTTTGGGACCACGTTAAAACAAAAAGAAAACCTTTGGGCCTAGAAATTGGGCACTACAGATGGGTTTTGGAACTCTAGCCGTGGGAAAGAAGTCCTGAATTTGTTTTAGGGGCACAGGGTCTTTACACAGTGCACAGAAAGACTTTGGCAGTAATGTGGCATGTAAAACAGGCAGCGTAGCATATTCATTAGGGAAATGGCCAAGGTCAGCACCTTTAAAACGAAGTTGCCTAAACCCCAGTAACAAACACCAAGTACAGTAGCATACCTGAATTTCAGGCATGACAGAAAGTGCCTTTGTCTACCTGCTGTTCTCGTGTTGGGGTTCCCATCTTTCTGATGAAGGAGGCATGACTGGGACTGCTGCAAGCATCTTTCCAGAGGGGTGTTGCCCACACGTTTACTCTCCTTATTTTATGAGAGTAGGGAAGCAATTGGAGCAAAATTATTCAGGACAAAGTTATTTAGGTCTTTAAATTCAAAGGAAGAAGGGGTACTGCATCATTCTAATAAAAAAGGATAAAATAAGTAAGGACAAAACTTTAAAATAAATCTGTTACATGATAAGTAATTATCTGAGGTCTATTTTGTTCCTGGAGCTTGAATCTGGAGAACTTTTATTTCTCTTTTTCACATTGGAAGCATGACTCCTTATTTGGGAGCATCAGCTGGCTGATGCTTGTTTTGTTTTCTTCTTAATTTTCTAGGCAAAATCTAAGCAGAACAAGGAGGTTTTGCATTTCTGAGTGGTGAGAGGCTTAATAATCTGAAGGCAAAAAAAACCCAACCCATTTTTTAAATGATTTTGTTTTCATGAATGATTTTATCCAAGTGTTATTGTAATTTGCTACAAATCTGAAAGGAATGCTGGTCAGAATTCATTGCTAATGTTCAGTGATAACTGTTACTGTGTGATTACCCAGTGGATCTTAATGATGTAGTACTTTGGTCAGCAGTAGTGCTTTGAAGGGTGTTGCCTTGATCAGTGCACTGATTAAGTAGTTATTTCTTCCACCCATAGTGGTAGCTAGAGCTGTAATATTCCTTCGTATGTCCCCCATTGCTATAAGTAATCCAGTCATTTTTCCTGTATAATTGAACCTGTTACATCCTTTTGTTTTTATTTGCAATGCTGCACCATGGCGACTCCCCCAGCAGATAGCTCTGGTAACTATGCAAAGTGGCAGATGGAATTAAGCCGGGGTTACAGTAGCTCTGGTTTGGACTATTCAGAAGATACCTTTGAGCCCCTCAGTGAGGAGGAAGAAGCCTGCTGGCAGTGAGGCAGCGAACCCTCTGAATCGTATTGTTCCACAGAGGATTTAGAGTGGTCTGCTGTGTCAGATGTGTTGGAACGCATGTCATGGTTGGCAGGCCAAAATCATGCAGGTATGCAGAGCTTACCATGCTTGAGACCTGTCTTTCACAGCTTTAAATTGGTGCGATGGAGACTTGAATCAGCAAAAATAAAAATGTAAAAATTGCGCACAGTGTTCTTGCTGTGCAAAGCAACAGAACCTCAGTATGCTGACTAGATCTGTGTCTTGCGCTCTCAGGATTTGCTGACAGCTACATGCAGAAGGGTATAATTTGGCCGTGGAAACCCTTCCTTGTAATGCTGAAATTCTGTTGGCATGTTAAAAAATATTCTGCAAGGTATCTTGATGGAGTTACCCTGTATGAAAAGTAGCTGGGCCGTAAAATAATCTTTCCAAGGGCACAGGGAAAGTTCCAGGACTTGAAATACTTAAGAGGGCTAGATCGTACCTTAAAGCTTCATCAGATGAGTGATAAAGAAGCAGGCAGCAGGACATAAGCTAACTGCCTTAATGTCTTGTTAGGTTTTCTTTTGTCTCTGTGGGGTTCTCTGTCATTCTTCTACGTTCTTCCTTTTTCCAAGTTTGGTCTGGTCAGTATTGTGAGTACTTGAAGAGATTAATATTTTTTTAAATCTCTTTTTAGTTTGGGAGCTTGTCAGCATGTGGAAACATTGCTTTAAAGATTAGCTACAAGACTTTTAATATATTTTTAAAAGTAGTGTAGACTTAAGATATATTTTAATGTCTATTAGCTGTTACTCTTGTAATCTGATTCTACTCCGTTCAACTTGATCAGCTGGCATATACTGATATATAATTAACCTTGTCTATATTTTAAAATTGGCAACCTGTTTCTTTTCCTACTGTAGACAAGTCCAGTAGAGATGTTCCTCCTGTCCCTCATCTAGCCAAGATTTTACTGTGGGTTTTTTTTTTTTTCACTCTGCAGTAATAACCAGCACCATTGTCACTAGGAATACTTTTTAAATACTGTTTAGGCATGAAATCCCAACAATGCGGGGCAAAATTTGTTGCCAGATATATATACGTGAATGTAAACCCTGTTTATTGTAGCACAGCGTTAGGTATCAGTGCTTCAAAAATCTGAATAAAGAGACGATCATTGCCTTGGTGTCTTATTCATGCTACATTATTATAATTGAACAGTGTCTAATAGATTTAACAGTTTTGCTTAAAATTTTTAGTTTTTACAAATAATAAGTTTTAATAAACATTTTTTTTTTTTCTGGAGCTATAACAAGTTTTTTTAACTTATTCCATGTCTAACTATTGATATCCTTATTTCTGGCATCAAGGAGTACATGCTGGGAGGAATCCTTGCTGTATGTGTAGATTTTTTTTTTTTTTAATAAGTGTTACCACTTTTTATCTTTACAAGGTTAATGTTTCATAAAATTATGAAGTCTTCTGAATGCTACCAGTTAAATGAGAAACTAGGGAATAATTCACAGAAAAATATTTTGGGATATTGATTGCTTTCTGTGGTATATATCTTACCGAGAACAGCATATATAAATAATGAAAACCACAGAAAACCTGTCGTGCTGGTGTCCCCATAGGGAAACATTATTTCTCTGTATAAGCCCACTGAATTTGCTGTTAGTACCCTGAAAACAGAGTGGAGAAGTCAGGTGCTTCCTGAGCGTGCTCAGTATTTTAAGCTGGGACCACAGCGTGTGCATCTTGCTGTCAGTGGCGGTGACTTTTCAGACCTCTTAAGTCTTTTGTCTTTTCCCAGCTATTCGCTTTCACATCTTTGCTGTTTCCTCAGTTTCTGCAGAACCGGAGTTGTGCTGGAACAAGCTGGAGAACAGGGAGCTGATACAGATTTTTTATTTCCCCTGCCCCACGTTATTTTTCACTTGGATCGATACCTTGAGGCAGGTCACGTAAGCTCCCAAGAGTACTTGTACTGCCACAGATGAAGAGCCTATTTAGGGCTGAAAATAAGCGATGAGGCTGAATGAGGGAGGAGGTAGATTGAGGTTAAGTTAGCATTGCAGGTAGAATTGAATGTGTCAACAAGCTCTAAGCAGTAGTTTCTGTTTTTCTCAGTGTATCTTATCTTGGCCTTCAGTGGGGTGATTAGAAATGAGCAATATGAGATACTTTGTGGGACAGAAGCTTGCTCAGCATTTCACCCTGACATCACTGATACCATCTGTATAGTCCTATGGCTTGGGGTTTCTTTTCTCTCAACAGAGAAAACTGTCCCATTCAACTGGAGGCTTGTTTGCCTCCCACTTTGTTTGTCTGCAGTCCTGCTTTCTTTACGATGTATGTTCAAAGCTACCTTTTTTTCGTTGTAGATGAGCAGTCTGAAGTAACGGGTTCTACAGCTATAGAAAAGGACGTCATGGGAAAATGGATTGATCTTAAAAATAAAGAAGCTGGCATTAAGCAAGACAAATCTGTCATCAAAACTGATGCTGGTGAGTTCAGTAACTTCAGTAAAGGTTATAATTCTTGTTTCTTTCAAAAGGGGAGGTAGGCTTTTAACTAGACTTAAATTTTCTATACAAGCTATTAAAGCTAAGCCAGGTAATTAGCCTGGCTTAATTAGCCAGATAATTAAGTATGAAGTTTCTCTTTTATGCTTTCTCGGAAAACAGTTTGTCTCCCATAACACACATGGCTTTGATGCTCCTGACACGTGATGCATTATCACAAGATCTGGATAAATACATTAAAAAATGTGTCCACATTTTAAATTTAACTGTAATCCTCCAAATTTTACTAGACTGTTTAGTTTTTCTCTTTTTCACTCCAGCTGGTGTGAAATGATCATTTCACTCCTACAGGTACTAGGAGTGTGGGCTTTTTCCCCTCCAAAGTAAACATGACTTCAGAATTTATTGTGTGAAATGCTTTTCCCCCCATTAATCGGTTGTATTAATTACTGAATTACTTGTTTGCCATGTTCTAGTTCCTTTCCCAAGCTGAGGGAGGCAGCAGGGCACCAATTTTGGCAAGAACAATGGAGCAGCTTTATCCAACACAATGATGTAGTATATGGAGGAGGAGAGGGGAAGGGAGGAAGGAAGGATGCCGTTTGCATGTACTGGTTATGCAAGTAACTGTGAGAGCAGATGGTGGGATGCAAGTCCTGCTTAAGTCTTTCTAAAAAGTGGGTCAGAGATACTATTTTTAATTTAAAAAAGAGCAAGAAAGCTGTAGTTGAGCAAAAAATAATTTAAGCAGAAGGGGAATCTTCCTCAGTCTGTATGTGCATGAAAAGTGAACAAGCTCAGAAGTTTTGTAGGTCACCTGTGAGACTGATTAACCAGGGAGATCCTTCTGCCTAGGTACTTCATGGCATTGCATTTGCACGCAAGCATCCTCAAACCGTCCATATATATCATAGGAAAACAGGACCTAAGATCATTTGTAGGCTATTCTTAATTGTATAGCTCATTCACAACACTGGTGAGTCAATGTTATGAATTCCTGACTCATCTTCAGCATTTATCTTTCTATTACTGGTTTTCCAAGACTGCCATGTAGTCAAGTGAGAAGACAGTTAATGTAGATCATCTCCTCTATAGTGGAGAGGCTTCTGGTGAGCTCCTCTGAGACAGTCTTTCTAAAATACATCAGAATCTTGTGACCATTTGATTCATAGAGAAATTGAGAAGGACCTGATGAGTTCAGATTCATTGAATGAATGGTAAACAACAGTATAAGGCTGAGGAAGTTTTCCATCTCTGCAGAGCTTTCCCTTGAAATTTACACTTGGGAAGATTTTCTCCTCTTAATCAGTTTCAGATTTTTGTAGTTCTGCACAAGGGACCTTTTGCCTTTGGCTTATGGACTTCGATGGGCAGGGAGAGTCAGAGTGGTCGCTCCGTCTTGAGTAGCAAGTTCTGTTTCATTAGCTTGCGCTGATGTATGAAGTGATGTGTTGTCTTCTGTCTGCCTGTCCTATCGCTTGTCATCTTAGCAGCTAAGCCCTTTCCAGGTACATTGTTGCAGTGCTTCCAACCACTGTCGATATGAAGAGCACAAAATAAGGTTCATGCTTATGCTGCTTTCATGCAAACACAGTACGCTGTCATGTGATTGACAAGTTATCCCCAAATTCATCAGCATCAATCATACTTAGCCGTGTACTACATTTTTTATTGCTGAGTATTAACATATAAACAAAATAAGCCCAGCAAGTTTTGTATACTGATATCTATAAATGCCTGCTTCTCTTTGACTTAGTAATTCAGTACCTGGTAGCCCCCAAGCCTCTTGTTATTTTATCGACTTGGAGATTTTTTTTTTTTTAAATACAATAGAAGATGAGTTCACCTAGAACTAGAGTGGTGCACAGTTAGTCCCCTCTCCAAATTCAGCAAAATGAATGATGTATGCACTGAGCATGTGTGGTACTTTTGAATTTGTCTTCAGGTAATAAAACAAAAATTCTTTTTATTATCTTGCTACTGATAGAGTTGAATGTGAAGGGGAAAAAAATCCTGGTTTGCATATGGGGATGCCCTGGAATGTGATTCTTGTTTTTCGTAAGTTCTCTTTGTGGGCTGAAATAAGAAAAAACTAGATGATGGCCTCAAGCCAAGTGAGAAATTTTTGTCATAGTTGTCTTTTTGTCTTCCTCTTCTCTGGCCCTCTACCCCAGTGTTGTAGCAACTAGTTGTTATTAGACAAATGCATCACAAAAGGACTATACGTCCCTAATTCCGTATAGATTATTCCAAAGACCATTACTCATCTTTAAAATTTACTACAGGAAACTGCAGTTCTTCAGCTTAGGTGTATCTGAAAGTTCAGGTGGGGCTTTTTAACGCTCTGACTTGTACTGTATTCAGAAGTTTGCTCTCACCTTTGTTTGTGACACGTCTACACTAAACGTTTTGCTCATTTCTTTTTCTGCAGTGTTACCACTGCACTACCGCTGGCAAAAGTGAGAGAGCTTTAGTTGTTGATGTTATTTAGAGGCATAGGAATGTTTCAGCAGCATCAGGCAGTTTTGTGGCTGAAATACAGTTCAGTCAATACTATCAATTTAACCGTTATTGTTCTTGTGATAGTGGTGTCAACGATGGGAAATCTAAAAGTAAAAACGGCCAGTGTAGATACAGGGAAATAAATACCTGCGGTTCACATTGCTAAGGTGAAAAAAGGCGCTGGCGTGTGCACATAGACGTGTGCACACTGAGGGACGTGTAAGTGTTTATTTTTCTGCATCAGATTTTTTTCCCAGCTTGTCCAGAGTATTTCTGAGTAGAAATACTAGATAGTTTGTATTCACTTTGTGAACAAATTTTCATATGTCCAAGCATTTACTTCTTGACTTACCAAATAGTAGTAGTAGTTTATTAAACGTATTTATTAAAAGTAGTAGTAGTCTATTTATAAGAATTGAGAAAACAGCCTACTGCTCTGTGTGGAGAAAGGAGCAGGTATCTGATAGTCTATACTGGCTCTCTTGCCTGTTCCCGAGCTTTTCAGCACTAAAGCTTACTGCTTGATAACGTGCACGGGTTGTGGCATTGCTGCAGACTTAGACCCTGAGATTCCAGACTTCTATTTCTGTAGTAAAATAGTATTAATGTATGCTGGATGGGGAAATTCCAACCAGCAACATCTAAATGGAAACCCCTGCTTGTAAAGAAAGTTTATCAAGTTCATTAATGCCTTTATGGAACTGGGAAAGAATTGAGTTTCTTCTGAAAGACATGGATTCTGCAAGGGTCTTACTGTTGTCTCATCTCACTAATGTTGGTGGAAACTGAGGGTATCCTTCACCATGCTGGAGGAACGTTATTTGCTTTAAATTCACATTGATAATAAATAGCCTGATATTTCAGGCTGTTTGCGTCAGTTCTGTGCTATCTGCACAAATCTTTCAAATGCTACGGTTGGTGATCAGGCTGTCAGCATGTTAATCTGAACTGCTGCACTCAATTGTACAAATGCAATTTAGATAATTATGAAAATGTTATCTTGAGATGCAGAGTTAAAATCTTTCTGAAGAGTAGTTATCAGTTACTGCCTTTCACGATTATCTTTCCTTTAACTGTTTTACGTTTTTTCTTCTTAAAATAGAGTATTAGTAGAGCATAATAAGAACAAAATGCCTGCCTATTTTCCTATTAAATCAAAGTTGGACATCAAAGGAAAAGGAAACTCAATAAAGATTTTCTTTATTTTTCTCCCTCCACTTGTACAGATTTAAAATGTCATAATTAAAGATGTAATTGCGTACAGAAAGCAAAATCTATGTAGGTCGCTTAGTTATAAACCACACAGCAGGGTTTAGAATGTAGACATGGAGATTAGCTTATCTCCGTTGGTACACGCTGAGTGCTTCTGTAATCAGAGCAGCTTCTTGGTCCAGTTTGTTGTGCTTTACTTTCTAAATCTTTCGTGCTTTGTGACCTTACTAACGTATGATAAGTGGCTCTGACTTGATGGCTGTTCTGGCGTCTGGTTTTGCTCTTCTTGTCACCTCCTCCTGCCTTATTCCTCTCCGATGAAGAGGGTGTGGGAATGCAGGATTCGGGGCAACCAAGCATCAGCAGAATGTACTTCTGGAATGGTAATTGGCACTGGCAGGGATTCTCTGCGGACAGGCATGCAGTGACATTTACGTCTGCCACCACAAATGGAGATTGAGCATTCGAGCATGTCTAGTTCAAAGATGGAAAGGAGGGAATACGTGAAAGACACAAGAAATAAAGCCAACCACCAAAGCAAGTGCATAGATCCTCTCGTATGCATCTCTCTTCTTTCAGCTGAAGGACAGGTGAACCTCGTATACCTGGAAGAAAATCTGAAAGTGTAAATAATCATTGTGCAGTTAAAAGACTAACTTTTCAGAATTTAACTGTGCGCTGACTTTTCTCATCATTTTTTGTTCTTTTTTCAGTGAAATTATAGTCCTTGATCCTTGATAATTTTCATTTTTTCTGAGCTTATTTACTGTTAAACATGAATTAATATTAAACAAGTAACTTCTTGAAATTGGTTGTGCAGTCAGGTTTAACAATTGCTGTTCTCTTTGCTAGTGTTTCTTCTAATGTCTGTAGGTGCAAATGAGCAAAGGGATGGGTGTATGGCAGCACACGATTCGTGCACTATTAGAAACCAATTCTTAATTAAAATGCGCTTCTATATGTCAGGAGAAACTTAAATGAATTAATTAGGCTGGTATTAAATTGTCACAAAATGTTCAGCAGACCCCATGTGTTTTACTTACGCATTTGAGTACTCAGTCTACGTAAATGCTTTGTTGTACGGTTTTTTTCCCCCACAGCAGTGACTTTTTCATCTTTTTATTCATTCTATGTGCAACGTAAATGAATATGCCACTATTTTATGAGTGCGATTAAACCCAGTAGTGGCACATGATTTAAACTGTTTTACAAGGGTTCTACATTATGATTGTAAGGAAAATGGCCTGATGACTGAAGTGGTGGTTTCCACTCAAATGTTTATGATCCTACCCAAGAAAAAATTTTTGTTAAATTGCATTTTGAAGTATTGTTAATTCTGACTGATCTGTCTATAAAGTATCACTGTGTCTTTGTCTTTAGTCAATTTGATCCATTGTCTTCTAAGGAGGAATAAATTGCTTTACGATGATTGATTCTGAGCTGTGGTAGTTGCACTTAAATCGTATCTTGTCCTTGTTGTCCATAAAGCAAAGCTCACCGATTCCTGCTTTGCTTAAGTCTTAACTATAGATCCACTTATCAGTTATACGGATTGACTGCATTTCTGAAGAGATACTCGGTTTACTTGCAAAATTCCACAGCTATATCTTGTGTACTTGAGGCGAAATTCATCGTAGCATATTTAGGCGAAGTTTTACATTCGTATTGTTCAGTGTTTTAAGGATTTGTGTCGTGGTTATGCCAAGGTACCCTACAGAATGGAATGCCAATGCACTAGTTGTCAGACAAGCACCCTGAAATATGCAGTGAAATGTGCAGTGCCTGTCTAGAAGAACTGAATTTAATCACTGAAAATGAGTGAAACGGACAATATGGAGGGATTGTTTAAATGGTATCATCATACTGTCCAGCTAAGTGGGCAGTCTAATTTGTTTCTGAATACTTTGAGTTAAAACAACCTGACCGTACCTTACCTGTGTAGTCGTTACCAGTTGTCTGACTTTTTTTGATTTTCAAGAGCGGAGTCCTGAGAAGGGAACGCTGTGTTAGCATTAGCTATGTGCGAAGGCATTCACAAGGCTTCTAGTAATGCTTACTGTAATGCTTTGTCTTCTCATTTCTCCTTTAATTACACACATTAAAGTGTTTAGTTGGGCTTCAGCAGTTGCATAAAGGTGAAATCTGTGTAATAAAGGTGGAGAGGTACTCTCCCCTGTTTAAAGAGTTGAAAACAGTGGTATCTTTTAAGGCCATGTAGTACTACACAGCATCATTATATGCTGATGCTCATGAAATACTGAATTTGTAACACAGTTACTCATGTTGGCTCCTCTGTATCGATGGGCTGTGTTTAAGCCCCTGGAAAATCTCCCACTAAGCACTGAATGACGTTGTAAATCCGTCCTTACCTGCCCGTGTGGAGTATAGTCTCTCAGTATTTATTTATGATTACAAGCCACTGGAAAGGATAAGAAAAGATGAAAGGTATTGTTTAAACAAGGTCATATGAACAATTTAGGAAATGATCATTGAAGCTTTAGAGGAAAGTATTTTCTACTATAATTGCATTTCCTCAAAAAAAAAAAAAAAGATGCCTAACTGTAGGCTGTAGAATATATTTGAGGTGTTTTCCAGAGTTACTTCAACAAGCAGGGCCTCAAATTTTTCAGTGTCTTATGAATTGCTCCTTAGAGTTACTAGATGAGTAGCTTTTGTTAAATGTTAATTCATTTTCTTTTAACAAGTTGCGGTTTCAGGCAGGAAGAAGCTGAATCTGTATTAGGCAGCCATTGAACCTCAGTTTATTTAATATCATAGTGTTGAAGTAGTTGCTTTACTAATACACTTGTGCTGTATCGTGAAGTAGTCTAATTCTTTAGGGTTCTTATCCCCTCCCCTCTTTGGAGACTATTCATAGAGACATTTAGTGTGTAAGTTCCTACAGTTATCATCCAGATTTTTATTTAAATTCTGCACTGCTGTTATTACAGTCATTGCCTCTAGGCTTGACATTGGGTTTGTGTTTTTATTAAATAGATAACATGAGGTTGCACAGGTAGAAGACCAGTAATTCTTCTCTTTCCCTGATAGAGTAAGTAATTGACACTTCTGTTTTGTTGATTTATGCCTGACAGAAATTACTGGATTATTAGATGGAGAACTGGATGCTCTCCGGTCTTTTTGCACCATTAAGATAAGCAAGATGCGTCAGCAGCTGATCTCTAAGCCGGCAAATGGCGGCACGTCAAGAAAGCTGCAGCATGGATTCACAGCAAAGAAACCTGAGACAAGTGACTTGAGCTGCATTGTTCCTGATCGGCTAATCAACAGGATCTGCCTGAAAAATATCAGAGAGACTGTTAAACAGGTACTGCAAGGAAGAAAAAAAATTAGATTTTGCCTACGCTTTTGTGAGAACCACTGGGAAAAAAAGCTGTAATGTAAGCATCAAATCAGGCAGGCCTCTGAAAGAGATTTATGCTTGATATCTCAAGATTTACCTTTCTCATCTTTTTGTTAGACACTACTGCAGAACTGTTGCTAGTTAAAAAATCATTGTAAAACATTGTCTGGTGATAAAATAATGATTTTTGTGATTTCGGCGAGGCTGGGATGGCCAGTTATTGCAGTCCACAGCAAGCCCTGGATCAGCTGAAGAGAAAAGCCTTGTTTTCTGGTTACGTTTGCACCTGTTAGTTATAGAAGTATTCTGCATATTATTTGGTTGTGGAGACCTTGTTATTCCAGTATTAAAAGTATTCCGAAGACAAAACCTGCCCCCTGCTCCCAGCTTTCTTAGACGTTAGGTAATGTTAAGAATTAAAGCATATCCAATAGAATGTTGGTGACGTCAGTTCCTTTATTAAGAAGCATCTGTATCATCTTTACACCATTCAAAGTGCTTTCCTTTTTCACAGCCCAGTGTTTTTTTCCCACCACAGGGTAGGCATTCTGACACAGGTCCTCCCTTCAGCTCTGCATCTAAGAGTCTCAAGACTGGTGTTTTTTTGGCCAGTGATCCTTGCATTCCTAGGGTTCTGTGGGTTTGAATAGTGACCGTTGCCTACAGATGCCTTTACTCGTAAATCTGGGCCTTGGCAAATGTCTGTACTTTGTTTGAAATTGGTACAGAATGTCTGCATCCGGAAAAGTATTTCTGATAAAACAAAAATGAGCTTTGAATAGTAGTTAGTCATTTATTTTGTTTTATCTCTATCACATTTGCTGGCTTCAATTTATTGCTATATAGCACAGTCAAAGTGATAAATAGCATATTCCTCTGCAAAACCTGTGCCAGAAGCGATACTTTTAAAGTCAGTTCTGGCGTAATGATTATTTCAGGCTTCCTGTTTGTTTAAATAGTTTTGAAATTTCAGCAATCTTCATTCTTTTATTGTATTAATGTTAACCAACTCACCATCCAAATTTTGTAGAACTTTTACTGCCTCTTCATTTGTCTTACAGTGTGGTAATGCATTTTCTAAGAAAAGTGACTTTGACTGCTATGTCTATTTGCTGATGTCTTTACCTCCACGTAGTAACATTTTTATGCAGAGGAAAAGAAATCAAGGAAGAAGACAGAGAGGCTTGAGACATGACTTTCTAGGATAGATTCCACTGCTTATGTAGCAACTTATTTCGTTTATGTAACCAGATGGAATCTGTGTAAATTAAATCATAAAATTATTGATATTTCATAAATGCACAAATACTGGGATTTGCGTAATGCTATTAAATATGCTTAAGACTTCATGGTGGATAAACTAACAGAGGAATTAAGAAGTAGTACTGTTTATCTTACAAAGAAAACTGTAGAATTTTGTTTGTATTCTGACTCGGAGCTGCATGTAGATATTTGAACTAATTGCTTCAGAGTTTATTTACCTCTTAGAATTTTTAAAGATAATCATAACCTCTTAAAATTTGTAAAGATAATCATAACCTCTGTGGTTGGTATTTAAGGCCTTGTCTATACTGTCAGCATAGAACACTGCTGTTCCTGTAGCCTCATTACAGACAGGCAGATATATATGGTGGAATTATTGCTAATTAACAATTGCTGTTACCGAGTTGTGATGATCAAGTATTTGAAACGTGGAGTAAAACATGTTAATTTAACTTAATTGAGCCTTCAGGAGTTAGTGTATTTGCTGTTGTGGAAGACTGGTTAGCATGCACAGACTGGCTTCCTGGAACAGCAGGTACTCATTAAGCAAGAGTAACTAACGGCTGGTGGTGCTCTAAACGTATTTAACACTAGCAAAATATGTATAGATTTACACTGGCAAAACTGTAATTTATACTGAGTATCCGCGCAGGTCAAAGGAGTTATAGTAATTAAAACAATTTTTTTGCCAGCGTAACTGTATCCGCACAGTTGGTTTTTGCTGGTCACTGATGCGTTGCTTGGCAATCACGTGACTTCATTTTTTTTTGACCATTATAGCTTCTGTGGAAGAAGTCAGTAATGTCCATGCAACCTCAAGCATCAGGGAAACTTTGTCTATTACAAGAAGAAATAGTATATTGCAGATTAGTGCTATGATTCTGAGATACAAGTAGATAATTTTAATGAAACTGTTGTCAGTGCTGGAAGGGGTAATACCTGGGGAAAAGCAAATCTATTTAGTGTGAACACATTCAGACAGGCTCATCTAGATGATACTGTGACAAAGATTATGAAATAATTTACAACTGCCTACAAAAGCAAATTTTTGTCTTTAGACAGTATCTATATCTGTATTTTTATTGATTGTTTTTAACGGAGTGGCCATCTGGGTTGCTCGTTGCATCAAAGTCTCATCTTTCAGGTGACAGAAGCTCAAATCCACGAATCTTCAGTGTGCCCTGACTGTCAGCAGAAGAAAGCAGAGTTAGCCAAGATTACCTTTCTCAGACGAAAGAAGATGCTAATGGAAAGTGCTTTAATCCAAGAGAAATTGGAAGAACAGATTTACTCCAGGGTAAGCAAATGTTTAAAAAAAAAGCTGTGGTACGTTTTATACATACTGTAACTAAAGAATCCGTAAGCCAGATTTCCCTCTGATTTATGGCAATGGGATCAGATTGACCTGAACGCAGTGCAAGTCAAAATAGAATTTGGCTCCATATCATTAATAAAATGCTTGGGACTAACATACTGATCAAGTCATTTGAGTTTGCCTGATTTATATAAGCTGAAGGTCGTTCCCAGGATGTCCTAGAATTGTTTTGGGTACATCTTGATTATTTCTCCAGTTTGTTTTCTGATGGGCTGTCCAAGACAAAATGGTAAATAACAAAATGATGTGATAGTAGGTAACTATGCCCATACTAGCCTGCCTTAGTCATCCTTTGCCGTAGGAGTCTCGGAGTAGGACACTGCAACGTGTTACGGAGGCTAAGGCCTCTCAGATACACTGAGATTTCTTCTTGGAAGAACTGTCTTCTGTCTGTGTGTGGTGTCACAAAGATTCAAGCTTTATTGTTAGGAAATACCTCTGGAATAGATGGTAGGCAATGTAAGCTGAAACTTACCGATTTCCTTGGGCCTTCTGTGGCTGCTCCTCAGGATGATGATCTTCCTGAAGGAAGAACTCTTCTCTCACTTTTTGAAAGGGAGTCAGATTGAAAGCAGGGTGTTCTGAGCAATGAGTAAGTAGTGCTTGCTGAAGCCCTGAGATCTATCTTTCTGAGTTTCTAAGTGGGAATTTGTGCACTGTACCAGGTGTTTGTTTTTTTACCTAATAATGTCAGGCTCCTGATTTTTGCCTCCCATTCACTCCATATCTAAGGTTTGAGAACTTCAGTCTCAAGCGAGGCTTCACTTTTTTCTTCTTGTTTTTCTCGCAGCTTCCCTGAAAAGGCCAGCTGCTTTTTCCTTCTCCTTAGGGAAGAAACCTGCTTTGTGGGGCAGATCACTGGCCACACTGTTCAACAAAGTTTTTAAACAGGATGCTTTAAAAATCCAGCAGAATTGTGCTGATGAGTGCTGCCTACCTAGTGGTTGCTTTTGAGGGACTGGATGTAGCTGTCAATGGTAGGCCTGGGATACAGGACATGAGAAATGGCAGGAATACAAAACCAAGTAATTTTCATGTTTCCTTTTTATTTCAGGATGTGCTTACGCTTATCGGAGAAGCACTCAGAAGCTTTCCCAAACCTTCAGAGGATCCCAGGAACTTATGGCAAAGGCTGAAAGGTCAGAAAATGTAAGGCCTGAAAGTAGTAAACATAACTCAAGGACATAAAGAACTGGGAGAGTCTTCTGTGGGCAGTCACATACTGAATGCCAACGACTGTGGATATAACCTGTTTTGTCAGTGATGAATTGGGTGGTGGTTTAATATTCTTGCAGGTGGAACCAGATATGCCCAGCCTGCTGACGTCTGGGTTATGATTCAACTCTTTATTCTTCCTAAATGCAAATGTTGCAATATATTGTACTCCAGCTATATACGTTTTTCAAATTACAGAAGCCAACACTTTCTATTATTAATCTGACAAGTAATAAGTATTGTTTTTTGTGGGATTGCTTGTGGGATTTCAGGGCAGCTCACAGCTGCTTCCATCCATAAGAAAAATAAATGATTCCGTTTTTCGGGGCAGGGAGGTGTAATTACTGGATTTCAGCTCAATCTTTGCCCACTGTCTCATCTTAAATTGAAAGTGAGAGCCCCAGGTGGAGGAGAAAAAGAAGGTTGCAAAGTAACCATAGAAAAGAGTAAAATGAAATGGAGTATTTATAGAACTGAAATAATGAGACTGTAACAGAAATTAATCAGCAAGACTGAGGATGCCAAGACAAGAAATGATAATAAATTAATCATAGAACCTGTATAGGATAGGTGTCTAGGAAGAGAAGAAACAACATAGATTAAAATTGGAATAAGATGCCAAATGATATTTTTGACCATTTTTTGATTATACTTTGGAATTTGTTGTAATTTTCTGTGATTTTTCAAGATGGCAAAGTCACTGTCTTTCAAAGAATATATCTGCGTGAAAGATTGGTATTATCATAGAATCACAGAATTGTTAAGGTTGGAAAAGACCCTTAAGATCATCGAGTCCAACCGTTAACCCAGCGCTGCCAAGGCCACCACTAAACCATGTCCCTCAGCACCACATCTCCCCAGCTTTTAAATCCCTCCAGGGATGGGGACTCAGCCCCTGCCCCGGGCAGCCTGGGCCAGGGCCTGACAGCCCTTTGGGGGAAGAAGTTTTTCCCAATACCCAACACACACCTGCCCTGGCGCAGCTTGAGGCCGTTCCCTCTCGTCCCATCGCTTGTTCCTGGGGAGAAGAGACCGACCCCCCCGGCTCCAGCCTCCTTTCAGGCAGTTGCAGAGAGCGATGAGGGCTCCCCTCAGCCTCCTCTTCTCCAAACCCAGTACATATCCAAATAAATGGCTTTGTGCTGGGGATCTCAGTGGGCTAGACAATGAAATCATCTTCATTGTAGCCTCAAAAGATGTATGCTGATCTGTGGGCACAACTGCAGCCCACCGTTCTGATTACGGCTGACAGCAAGAGCTCATTGCGTTGCTCTTGCAGCGACCTTGTGGCCATTGGACTTGTGTGAGTCATAAAGTTTCTGACTCTCATCAGTCTCCAGTTTCCTGACTTACATGCATTTAGATCTCTGAAGGCTGTGGAAATCTTGAAGGAATATCCTTATCTATGAACTCTTACTGAATTTTTGTTACAAAGCAAATGGGATTAAATCTTACTGTTGCATTTTATTTTCCCATTTTGGGACAAGAATATGTGTAGTTGAAATTCGTTTTGTATTTTATACCCATGCAGTTATTTTCTTTTGTATGACATATATTTTTTATAAGAGGGCTTGAGGGCTGTTTAGCCTCTTGTTTTCACTCCCCAGAAATCAATGGAAGTCCTGAAAAGAAATGCTAGGATATAGAGGTAGACAGGACCACCTGTGTTAGCGAATATCTGCCTTTGGGTGCTTAAAAACCTACCTTGAATGATTTCACCGGGAGGTGATCCTGAGTAGGTCAAGCTCCAAGTGAAAACACAATGCAGCCCTAAGTTGTTCAAAGCTAGCTGTCCCCGCTGCTTCATCGGCAGTCTCTTCTGGTGTCTTGTAACCAGCAGGTTTAATAGTCCGTCGAAAATATTCCCCTAAGCTCGGCTTTAACTTTGAGTTGTCACTGCAGATTGGATAGCTGCCTATATAACGAATAAACTGCTGCTTGTTTCTTCCCATTACTCTCTAATCCTTTGAAATGTTTAAATCCCTTAAATCTCCTACCTTCCAATCTTATAAACCGTTTCATTTTAGATACTCCATCTCTATCCCTTGTTTGCTTTGGACTACTCTCTCTGTTTCTCTCGAGTCTTCTGAAGTCTCTAGCAATCTGCCTACCACCAGGCGAAGGACGCCTGTTATTCTCTGTGAAGTCCCATCAGGGCTGTCAGATAGAGAAGTGGTGATCAGGAATTGAATCCTTTGAAAATGTAATTTTGTTGTTATTGCCAATGAACACAGCTTTCAGCGCTTACAAAAAACACAGCAAGTGAGTTCCAGGACTCTGAATATAGATTGATTATTTTTATAAGTAAAAGAAGGCATTTTGACATTTTTGCTTTCAGTACATAGATGCTTTCTAGAAATACTGAAATAGTTCTTTGCAACTCTTGTCAAGCCTTTATGTAAATACATTGAACTATGAGCTATTTGGGTTAGGCATCTGACAATATTCGGCTGTAAAATAGTATTCATACTCGCGCAGCACAGTGGCTGTACAGTTCTTGTTTGTTTGCGTAAATGTCACAAAGACAGTTCAGATAGCTCCTTTGAAAAATCAAAGCGTGTTTTGCTTATGTCTGTTGCATGTGTTTTCCTACTGCTTACTACAGTTCTTCCATTTTTTTTATCAAGAATGACTCTGAGATCTGAGTGTTTGTCTTCTGCTTTCTTGTAGCAGCTATTAGGGATGTAAAATGGAATGAATGATCTGAGTCTCTAAATAATTTATTTTATAATCATGCAGTGTTTGAGACTAGAGATCCAAAAATTCCGACGTGGAGGACGTAGGAGAAAAAAAGTAGACCATGTCTCTTCCTTTTCCCCTTTTTCTTTTGATCCAAAGAAACACTCTAAAACTATGATCAAGAAATATTTATTCATCTGCTCCCTTGTTTGTGCTTGCTGGGGCATAAAAGGAGCGAGGTGGATGAAGGGTGATTCACATGGTAAGCAGCCATAGTATGGAAACAAATCAATCTGCCTATTAAGAGTACTTTAGAGCTTTCGCTTTCTAGCTTTCATGCTACACAGAGTTGTGTTATTTAATCTTCTGAATGATTTGTGATGGAGTAGAGTTTATTGCTCTGAACTTTGTACGAATACAGAAGGGGTTTTCGTATATACATTGTTTTATATTATGTGTATGCTGGTAACCGGTTTCATGATGTTACACTTTATAACTGACCCTTTAGATAAAATTCTATTCCTCGCATTATCATTAAAATCAGTTTCCTGTGGACTGTAGCAATGTACTTTCCACTTTCATTTGCCCTAGCTTTCTCTCTAAAAAAAATTAATCTGGCTTCCAGGCTCAGTCATTCCTGAGTCTTGTTTCTAACCATCTGTTGGGCCATGGGACTTTGTATTTGTTTCTCCTCTAGGATAAACTTCCATCTCTTTCACAATAGGCTACTAGCACGTGTTTGGGAACGAAGTTTTAGTGCAATTAACTTGCCTGGATATGAACTGGGAACAAAGATAAACACGTTTGAATACTGATTTCCAGCTACTTGTGAAATATGTCGTCACAGAACGGCGGAGGTTGGGAGGGGCCTCTGGAGGTCACCTTGTGCGACCCCCTGCTCCAGCAAGGTCACCTAGAGCCAGCTGGGACCTGGTCCCACTGGTCCAGCGGTCCTTACATTAATCTTGAATCTTTCCTCTGAAGCTATACTGAACACTGAAATGCTTCAAACCCGCTTTGGGCCACCGCCTTTTCATAAATCCATCTCCCAGCCGTGGTTTCGTTGTGTGGCAAGAATCAGTTGGGTTTTTTTTCCCATAGCCAGTTTGATCAGCTTCCGAGAAGAGGAGCTGAACCCATTTATTCATACTGGGAGCTTGACAAAAATTTTAAACTGGTGGCACCGAGGACAAGGTTTTGCTTCTGGAGGGGATCGTGTTCCCCTGTGAAATTGTTAGCTGACACAGCACCCAGATTCTTCTTCAGTAAAAACCTGAATTGTAGCTTTTAGAGCAGTTATTCCAAATCGTACATACATACTCCAGCAAGAGCGGGAGTGCTTCCAGCTATGTCTTTCTTAAAGCATTTTGAAATATACTTGCATTCTTCAAATTGTAATTTTATTATCATTCAGTATGATTTTCAGAGAATGACTTTTTATTGTCTCCACTCAATAAGAGCTAACCTAGACGCTGTGCGCAAATCGTTACTGCCTGCAACCGAGTTGGTATTCTAAATGCCGCTGTGTTTAAAAAATGTTTTTTAATTTTGTGAATACATATATTAGTCTTACGAATACTACATTTACATTGTTTTTATGCAACTAGCTACCTGTTCCTTTTTCCTCCACAACTGATTCTGAAGATCTTTGCCTGCACTGACGGCAGCATGATCTGCATGGGGGAGGCTGGGAAACGAGGGGGAGTGCATACCTTCTGTCAGGAAGGTACTAGGTCCTCTGTCTTTCAAATTACCTACAGAACTGATCAGCGCACCTTTAAAAAATACATTTTCCAGCTTCTGGGCATGGATATTCACTGCTTATTTATTCATTTATTTATTTTGTAATAAAATAGTACTGTTTGTTCTCACATAGACTAGTGTGTACGATCCATAAATACGTTTGTAAAATATATCTGTAGCATGTAACAGAATCCTTTAGACTATTCTGTGAAAATTCATATTTTTAGTTGATAGCACTTTAAGAACATTTACATCCTTCATCTTGACATTTTTAAATAGAACATTTTTTTGCCTACAGAAGTAAGTTTACAGCATCATCACAGTATTATAGCTTGTTTAAAAATACATACAGCAGTAATGGTAGTTGCAAGCAAGCTATATACTTGAGCAGGGTTTTTGTTTGTGATTTTACATGTTTTCTACTTTTTAAAACAATTACGTATATTAATATTACATCCATCACTTTGTTAGAAAATATTACTTATATATGCTACTCACAATAGATCTCTCATTTTT